CCCCAAAACCCCAAAACCCCATCATGCTGTTATCCATAAATTAAATTCATAAGTATAATTAAAAAAGCTGATTGAGATTAAAATATTTTATCAATATTTTTAGAAGTTATAATTTATCAATAAATCTGCTCGCAATACTTATCAATCCAATAATCTAATTATTTTTCAAATATTTCTATCTGCTTTTTCACATCATAGTCTATTTGATTTACATACATGCTTACTCTGAATATTCCGTTATGAGAGAAATAGTTAACTGATGCATTTCGTCCTATGATGCTATCTCTGAAATGCATTCTTTTAGTGTAGACACCACCGATTTAATAAGGCTTAGCTGGCCCACATATGTTAGAGAAAGTTCTTCTAGAAGGTTCCAGGATAGCAGGTGATATCTTAGGTATCATAGGAGTAGGCAAAAAGTAACTCATAACTTAAGAGCCAAATAATATAGCCCTATAATCAGTATTGTTTTTTAATTAAGTAAATATTGCTTGATTTTTTAACATGAGTTTTCTAAATAACTAATCTCTGTCAGTTGTATCATCTTCATAATACATAGGCATTAGCATTGAAGTCTCAGGTACTATTAAGTTGTTGAAAAATGTCATATCTGCTTTTTATCTCAATGGCTTTCTAAAATTAATTGCAATGCAACTCTTGAATATATAAGGTTTGTATGTTTTATAATCCCAAGAATAAAATGAATAGGCTTCCAAAAATATATTAGTTATCAAATCATTTACTGTGCATCTGAATTGCTTACTAAGTTTCTTAATAACTTAAAGATCATAATCTTTGCTAATAGCATATGAAGGCTCTTTCTAGCAAAAATCAAAAATTTCTGTATCTCTAAGTTTTAAAGGTTAAGCTTTGGCAATATAATAAGGGAATATTAAACACTTAGCCAATTCAGTCATTTTCGTCTTCAAACTTTTTTATCGACATAAAGGTTAATTTTCAACTTGAAAATTCTCTTAAAGTCAGTTCAACACATTTAATGACGCCATTCCATCTGCTAATGCATGATTCATGACAAATATTATTGCAGATGAATCAGGCTAGTAATTTTTGATTAGGTATACAGCAAATTATAAATTTTCATTTGGGAAGCCTTTATTTCCAACCTAATTGGTATAATTAAGTAACTCCTCCTAGTTATGAATATCTTCGTATACTTCAATAAAGCTTCGTTTCCAGTATTTCGATAATTCTTCTCCTATGTATTCTTTAAGGTATATATTATTGATGAATGGAATAACTCTTGACCTTAGTTCTTTTAAATGCTAGCTATTTCTAAACATCGAATCAGAAATACTTTAGATAGAATAAACTTGCCCTTATGTTTCTATGTTAAAGATTACGTTAAATTAACCAATAATAAATTGTACAGTATCTGAACTTTCTCTCATTTTTTGCAAGCCAAATATGTAGTAAAGTAGTAGCTGAAGTAGCTAGTCACCTATGAAATAAGAAGGGAAAACTAAGAGTCAAGAATCAATATAAAACCCTAAAAGCACAAAAATGGCTAGTTTCGCAATAGTAATGGTATAAGAAATTTAATAAAATTTCATTGTCATCAAAATTTAAAATGATTAATGTCTTATTTATATTTTTACTAATTAACTAAATTATGGTTTGTTATTTTTACCTAAGGGGTTTTGGGGTTTTGGGGTTTTGGGG